TGAATCTGTTGCTGATGCGACGGTGGTGCGAGGGGAAGATCACTTGCAGAGATGCGTTGGAATTTGCACGTGCGGCCCAAGCTCGAGGGCGCCCCGACATCGAGACTTTAGCGGCGACGGACGTCCACAATGCAGCTCGCAACTTGATGAATGCAGTTGGTTACCCTGAAAATGCGCCTGCAATTCAATTCATCGAAGTGCCAACCAAGAAAGCAGGAGTGACGCGATATTTACCAGTGATTTGCCCGATAGATGCGCTGGAGACAATGATATATAAAAACGAATACAGGCTTTTTAAATCAACGCGTGGCGTGGACGGTTACGTTCCAAGTTTCCGGCATGGCGTGAGAGGGACACCTATGCGTGAGAACAATTATCACGTCATCGACATCCAGCGCACCATGGCAGTGAAAGTGCATACAGACGCAGCCCCAACAACAAAGGTGGATGGGATGCTTACTAAAGCTCGGTCAACTTTACATGGTACTGGTACTACAAAACAAACCCGCAATGTGTTCACATCCATCCCCAATTCATGGATATGCGATGGTGTTTTGGGGGGCTGTATTTACACGTCTCGCTCGGTCGTTCAATGCATTGACAGAAGGGGTGCTACCGCATTGTGACTGGAAAGGTGCACCCACAAATGGAGGGGGTCGAGAGCTTGCGAACGGTTGGCGAATTGCTGTGATATTCTGTGGGGCGGACTGGGAATTTTATTCATCAGTGTGCAAATTCTCAGCCGTTCCGAACTGGTGTTGGCTCTGCAATGCAATTCTTCATGAAGGACATCTGTGTTGCTTCAACGTTTCGCCCCGCGCAGGTTGGAAGGGGCGCGTTGAGAAGCCGCGAATCTTAATTTGAGAAGCTGCGTTGACACTGGTGCAGAACCGTGCGTGTTGATGAACATCAAAACGCTTCGACTGGAGGGCTTCTTACCATGCGCAGTGCATGGCATGGGCGAAGGCTTCGCGGCAGAGGTTGCAGGGAACGTCATGCGCGAGTCTATGGAGGCCCATGGCTGGGGCAGCAATCAGAAAGAACGAGCTGCGCGTCTGAACGACGACCTGCAGAAGCACGACAAAGCGACGCAATAATCTGCACGGATTGATGGCAAGATAACGTATGAACGAGTGAAAGCGCCTGGAGATTGGCCGCTACTCAAGGCCAAGGCAGCAGCGACAAAGCACATCGCACCATATCTCGTGGAACTGGCTGAACGGTGTAATGATGGAGGCGTTCACGCTAAACGGAGTCTGGTTGTGTGCAGAGCGTTAACAAAGCGTACGATCTCATGAAGGATGCAGATCGGTTTCTCGCCCCAGGCGAGAAGAACAACCTAACATAACTCAGCCAAACGATGATGGGATGTTATCGAAACCTCAGTATCGAGGCCCACCGTCAAAGCAGAAGGGGATGGAAGATGAAACCAAAAATGCATGAGACCCAGCACATGTTAGAGCATTCGACATTCATTAATCCGATGTATGTGCGGTTGTATGCAGATGAAGACCTCCAGCGGCACATCAAAGCCATCGCGAAGCAATGCCGTCCCAAAACAGTGCCCTACATGTGTTTGTTTAGATGGGTAGTGGATACATTTATCGAGTATGATTACGAATAAGCGCGCACTGGCGAGCCGTGCGGGAACCAAGCAGGGATATATCTACAAATCAGACCATCAACATCTGCATCATCACCATCATCATCATCATTTTCACCATCATCCTCATCATCAGCATCATCGCTATCACCATCACATTCACCATCACCATCATCATCATCATCGTCGCCGTCGTCATCACCACCATCATCACCATCATCATCAGCAGCAGCATCATCAGCATCATCATCATCACCATCACCATCATCATAAGCTTCATCGTCATCAACATCATAATCATCATAACAGCAACCACCACCGTTATCATCGCCAACGCCGTCGTCATCAACATCATCCTGATCATCACCATCGCATACAGCATTCGTCATCATCCATTTGCCGTTTTGGCTTATATTTTTCACTGATTTCGTGATCATGCTTTGTAATCACGCGTTGGGCGCGATTCTGGTCGCAACGCGACAACTTGTGCCAGGCTACGATTAAAACAAGCCTGAACGAGTCTCGGGGACTACAGGTACCCCCCTCCGGACTACAGGTACCCCCCCCGGAGTACAAGTACCCCCCCCCCGGACTACAGGTACCCCCCCCCCCGGACTACAAGTACCCCCCCCCGGACTGTAGGTACCCCCCCCCCCAGACTACAGGTACCCCTAGAACTGTTGAGGGACACAGAGTATAGGCGCACTACGGCGCTGGGGAAAACACTTGTTTTACTGTCTCCCCAAAATAATTGTTAAACAGTTTTTAGACATCGGCGACTTTCCAGAAGAAAAAAAACGATCGTAAACTATAGGGAGTGGGGGGGAGACGACAACCCAGAAAATATTAGGAAATATGGGGAATGTTGGAGCGTGCGCCTATGCAGTTGTGTATCCC